GCTAATAGCGCATTGTTTGCTAAGGGAACATGCATTTCAATAAGGTCTCATAGATGACAAAAAAATCTAGGAAATGCAACTATCACGAGGAAACCATAGAGCATATAATTTGCGAGGGTCTACCCTCCAGCAGGCAATGATTTGTGTTACTTGGAGTGGTACAGCTGCAGAGCCTGTAGTCAGCATTCGACAAAGGAACAAAGTGGAAAGGAAAGGCAGTGTTCGTTAAAAATGCAATGCTATGCACGTTATATTCGTGTATGTAAAACATCTTTTGGTCAGCCAGCATAACCCAACCATACCCGTATTTTAGTAAATATATGTACTTTTTATTGAATCAAATTTTTTTTCTACTTACTCCGCCAAGCAAATAAAATCTATGTGAATTAAAATACTAAAATCTTTATTTGCTTGACTATTTTATTTCTAGTAGGAGTGCCATTTACTGTTGAAAACCGACTATTCTTCTGGTTTTTAAGACCCCTGGAGAGATTGTCTAACTTAGCACGTCGTTCAACTTATAAGGTACAAAATTACTTACTGGAAAATGTCCTGCATGCGAACTAAAACGTGACTACAATTTTTTATATCTTTGAAGGCCTTTGGAGTACTTTGGCGGGACTTAGAAATAACCCGATATATATTCCAGTTTGTCGATAAATTTCTATAATTTGATACATATAGATGAATGAATGAAATTCAAACACACTAAAATCCGATAGCTCAAAAAAAATCGATAAATTTACTAATTTCGAGAATTTTCGATAAATTTCGGTAACGATCCGTTTCAAGGGCCCAAAAAAAAACGATATCGATACAAATCGATAATTCCATAAACTTTGGATACTACTATAACTTTCTATAACTCAGTTAATTTTGACAGCTCTAGATTTTTCGAAAGCCATCGACAAATTTGGGTAACCCGTTACACTCTAGCAGTGATAAGTCGATAAACTTATATAACCTGGTAATTTCGGTAACTCGATATATTTTGAAAATTCCATGGCTTCGATTCGATAAATCAACGAATTTCAGTAAATCAATAAATATCGGTAGTTCGATAAGTTCAAAGGCACTCGATGCATTACGATAACTCGATAAGTTTCATTAACTTGACAAATAATGCTATTGTAATAAATATCAATAACCTGATAAATTTGATTAACTTGACAAATTTCCATATCCCATACATTTTTATAAGTCGATAACTATCCGTAAATTTCGATAACTATTAATTTCGATAACTCAATAAACATTGATGAATTTAAATAATTGAATACGTTGTGATAACTCAATAAACATGGATAACTCGATAAATTTCGATTACTATAAACTTCGATGATTCGATAAATTTCGGTAACTTGATAACTCGCGATAACTTAATTTTTTATACCGAAATTGATTTCGATTCATATCGAAAAATTTCAATAAAACTTCTTACCCTAATTCTTCTCTATTTCTGTGAAAACAACTCAAAATGAACAGGTTGCAACAACAACTGTACACAAACATGAAATTTTTAATCAACGATTTTGGCCGTAATTTTCAACCAATTTTGTAACCATAAAAACTCTCTTCAGACAGAAAACTTACCTTTCCAATGAATAAATGTATGTAGATTATGCATATACCTTTTTTTGTAAAGGCTATATGTATCAGATTAAAAACAATAACAAACTTTGATTTGAATTTTGTATTTGATTTTTAAGATTATGATACTTAACCAGCGATAAATTTTGTCAATCATAAATAGTCTTTTACCCTTCGTAGTACGATTAAATTTGATTTTATGACACTTAAGTGAAATACCTAACCCTACCCAGCCTTGTGACCACTTATCTAATAAGCGGATGACTAACTCAATTTGATTTTATTGCCTACTTTAGTTCACTTCAATACTTTTTATCAGATTTCACCTGAGAATTGAGGGAAACTAATAAAAACTAATAAAATAAACTGCGCAACACATTGCCAGTTTATTAAAAGGATTGCCTGTCGGAGTGCCCAATAGGCAGCCTAAGTGGGAAGAAGAGCTAGGAGAATGTATGACAGCGAACGAATAGCCACTGGACATTTGTCAAATGAACAAAAGTGCTAAAAGTAGTAAAAAGCTGTCAGGTGCGGCACGAAATCGAGCAATTTATCTATAAAACGCGTTTTATCTACTTACATACATATGTATGTAGTGTGAGTGTGAAGACAAATAGACAAACATGAGCGAAACTACGACGTTGATTGCTGATAATGGCTGTGAAACCAAAGGGAGCTATGGAGTACAAAAGGCGTATATGGTGTTGTTGTTTCTGTAAAACGAAAAGGACAAAAGTCTCCATAATGAGCTTAATGGATTATTTAAGGAATCAAGGGCCATAGTGATATAAAAAAATTGAAATAACTTAAATACATATGCACGTATATGTATGTATATGAAAGAAAAGAAAAAAGCTATAGCCCAAAAATAAGCAAAAATGACATACTAATAGAAAATTGCAGTGCGAATTGTGAGAATCAAGATTTTGAGGAACTGAACTATAATCAAGCAAAAGAAATATGCTTATGCAATAAAATGAAGCAAAAAAATAGCATAACATAATATAACATAACATAACAAAACATAACATAACATAACAAAACATAACAAAACATAACAAAACATAACATAACATAAGATAACTTAACATAACATAAAATAACATAGCATAGCATAATACAACATAACATAACATATGAAAGTAAAATAGGAAGACATCGGCCGACCTGCAAAGAACGTCTTCACAAAACCGCGCAGAGAAGCTCAACCTTAAAAAAAAAATGCTAAGCAGAGCAAAAACCGCTGTTTCATACAAAGGCAGTGCTGATGTGCAAAGTCGAAGGACCGAGAGTGCCACGACCCATCTTCCAAAATCTCCTAGAGAATGCCCTTCTAGCATTGTTCCTACCACAGGGGAAGAAAGACCTTAACCAAAAGGAGTTCGTGAGCGTACCTGCAGTAACAACGGCCGAGGTGGCATACAGATTGGGTCGAATAAAAGAAATTAAGACTCCCGGGTCAGATATTGTCTCGAACGTCGCTTTTAAGACTGCGGTTAGGCTCAGACCGGACACGTTCGCCAACTTATATGCCGCGTGCCTAACGCAAAGCATATTCCCAGCGCGCTGGAATCTACATTGATTAGTGCTGCTTCACAAACTCGGAAGCAACCCAATCAGCCGTCCGACCTCTATGTAAGTATGTATGCTCGAAACAGTGGAAATCGTTTTTGTAAAAATGATTTGCAATCTAGTGCCGAGTTGATCGTCTTCAGGAGTTTTTAGAATGCACGACTGGCAGCACCGACAAACATTTTGGCTTTCGACGGGCAACATCTATGGTTGTTATGGCAACACTAGTAACGAGGCGACCTGTGGAGGGCGCCATCTGATGAGGTGCTGGGCTCTCATATCGTTGGACGTCAAAACCGCCTAAATATAAGTCAGCAAATTGAAGTAATATATTGGTGCCACTAAGGAATTACAATGTACCCGACCAACTGCTATGAAGAATCCGAAGTTACTACAGGTACTGACTTGAACCTACAGTATGACTTAGCAGGAGGCCCAAAACAATACGAGGTAACAGGAGGCGTCAAACAATGATAAGACCTCTGGAACACCATATATGGTGAGGTCTTAAAACTGAGGCTATTCGATAAGGCAACCATCATGGGATATGAGTATGATCATGTGTAAGAAATATACAAATATTCAAAAGGCGATTATACCACGAAAATGGTGGCACATTTATCTTAGACATAGCATTATCTTCGGTTTTGCATAAAGGCCAATATTCCATCGCGAGTTTGTATTTAAATGAAAACTTAAATAAATATACTAAAAAAGTAAAATAACAACTCGTTCTATACCTGTAGTTATGTGTGTAACGTATACGCCCCGCAGCACCAAACAGTCAGTTAACACGTTTAGTCGCACGCTTTAACTTAGGTTGGGTTAGGTTAGGAGGGCGTGTGTGGAATATTCCATACTTTCATCGGAGTCAGAATTGTCCATTGTGAGTGCCCTCTTTTAGTGAGAGTCAGGAGAGTAGCTTTAAGTCATCACTTTACTGAACAAATTAGTACCCCTGATGAAGCCGAGAAGATCCAACAGTTCCACCTCTGCTACATCGCCCAGACTGTTGAAGAAGCGTGAACCCATGCGCTTGAGTCGATTCCTCTGTAGACCTGGATATCGACACAGATAGTGGTCAATTGACTTTCTTCATCCTCATCCTGACAGCCTCTGCAAAGAGTACTTGTTGGTATTCGCAAACGTTGAAGCATTATTGCTATAGCATAGTGTCCTGTGATAACGCCGGTATGGACTCTTACTGCAGATCTATTGAGCTTCAGTAGGGGTAGGGGCATGCCCCCTAAATAAAATAAAATGAAATGAATTAAAATAAAATAAAATAAAATAAAATAAAATAAAATAAAATAAAATAAAATAAAATAAAATAAAATAAAATAAAATAAAATAAAATAAAATAAAATAAAATAAAATCAAATAAAATAAAATAAAATAAAATAAAATAAAATAAAATAAAAT